AATTGAAGTTAAAAAAAAAAAAAAAGAAAAACAAGGAATTTATCATTTGAACATTATTACATTTTGTTAAATTTGAAATTTGATAAAAAAAATTTTAATTATTTAACAATTACGATATGAAAACAATGAAAAAGCAAAAGAACGAGAAAAAACACAAAATGAATAAAAATTTTGTTATATTATAAAAAAAAAAAAAAACAAAAACAAATGATACACCAAATAAAGTGCTTCCTTATCTTCTGTTATGATATTTTATAATGATATAAAATAATAGAAATACAAGAATCTCGAAACATTGAATATTTATGAAAAAGTTTGAAAAGATCTTTTTATATATATAAATAATGCGTTATAGTTTTTAATAATATTTTTCTCTTGTTTGTTAAAATTTGCTTAATATTTTTATATATATAAAAACGACAACACAACAACAACAAAAAAAAAAGAAAAAGCATTTTTATCGAAAACAGTGTACATTCCATTTATATTTTAACCAAGGAATTTAATAATAATAATAATAATAATAAAAAAAAAACAAAGAAATAGAAAATCAATCAATACACTTTTATCGAATGAACATTTGTCAAAAATATGATGTAAACTCCTCCTTTTGAACATGTTTAAGAAGTCGTGTTTTTAATTTTAGAAAGATAATACTGCGTTAATAAAATATGTAGTTAGTAATATAACTCTATATTATAAATAGTCTTGAGAAGAAAAAAAAGAAAAAAAATTATGTAAAAAAAAAAAAAAAAAAATTAAAATAATTATCAGCAAATAAATTACTTAGAAAGGAAAATTTCTCAAAAGAGAAAAAGCTTCAAATGATCATAAATAGTTTTTAGATAAAAAACTATTAGAGTCATATGGTAGAATTTTTTTTTGATTATTTATTAAATATAAGAAATTATATTATTTGTGTGAGATTATAAAAAAAAGAAGAAAAAAATATCAATTTATCGATTACATACATTTGCTTTATGTAATTTATCATTTATATAGTATAATGATAAAGAGTGTACTTTTCATTTGTTCTTGTTATTATTTTATTATTTTTTTTTTTTTTCTAAATATATTTACAATAAAAAATTACTTTTCTTTTCCTACTACTATAAATAATATAGAGCTAAATAATATTATATCAAGCCGTTCGTAATCTAAAGAAATCTATTCTTTTATTGTAAATTAATGATATACGTACATTTATAATAATGCAAATTTATGTGTACAAACATTAAATTATTAAAATTATATTAATTATGAACAGAGTGATGATGATGTTGTTTCACAAAGGACTTCTTAACAAATTGTATTTAATATTATACGTATAATATGTTTATATAAGAAAGCTATAAAAAGACAATGTTAACAATTTTATGCACATTTGTGAATAAATTATTATTTCAAGCTTTTGTTGCTCTTGACAAAGAAAAAAAAAATAAATAAATAAAAACGAAACAAAAAAAAAACAAAAGAATGTAATTGCAAGAAATAAAAATGCCATTCTCTCTTTATACAATTTGAAATTATGATTAATTATATTATAAAAGTGAACACACAAACGCTATGTTGTTTAAATGATATAAATAAAATGAATACACAAAAAAAAGGACATTTTAATAATAGAAAAATCTAAAATAAAAATTGAACACATAAAATATCTTTTAAAAATAAAGTTTTATTTATTCATTGACAATCATATTTAATAATACAAACATATTTTTTTTTTTTTTTTATCAAAAATTCGTCGTTATTTAAATGATGAAGATAAATTTCACAATGAATTTTGTTTTAATGATCATTAATAATGTTAAAACCCATTAGCTGTCAAATTATTTTAGAAAAAGTCTTAAATGGGGATTTTGTGGCTGGTTTCAATAGTGGCTGGTATATCATTTTCAATTAGTACTTTTGAATATCTTTAAATTCAATTATTGAAATTGTTTTAGGAGATGCTAATAAACACACAGTCTTGTAATAATTAAATATTATTAACATAAGTTAATAAATGATTAATTAATTTGTACTATTTTTGATTACCTTCATTATTTGTTTTCAAATTTTGATTCAAAACATTGAATCGATTAATTTTTTGGATAATTTACTCTTATTAAAATGTTTGTATACATCGTCTCCTATGTTTTGTCGTAAGAAATCTTTTAATACTTGCCTATATGCAGGATCACTTTGTGGACCAGATTTTTTCTCCCATTGTAATTTACCTTTAACTTTACTAAATTGATATACTCTTTTTTCCTTGATTACATGTAAAACATTTGGAATTTGCCATCTACACGTATCACTAGCAGGAGGAAAAGCTTTAGAAAAATCATAATTATTACCTGGTGTATTACTTTTTTTCTTAAGCTTGTAATAATCATATAATTCAGATGGACAAGGCACCATTTTAAATACGTTTCCTTCATTAGTAACGCTATGTCTCACAATAAATGTTTTATCCGGTTGAATTTTTTTCAGTCTTTCCTTCTTATTATCAGACATTAATGGATTACAATTCATCAAATCATGATTGTTGTTTTCATTTGGTTCAGTAACAATTTCATCATTTGAAGGAGTTTCATTTGTTTGGACTGTACAACTGTCATGATGTTTATGACTTGTGCTTTGTTTACTTTCTGTTATATTTGAACTACAACATTTAATATCATTTATATTACACGCATTATTTAACAAACTTATTAATTGTTTCATTTCTTGTTTATTTTGTTTAATTACAGCGTCCTTTTGAAGATGTTCCCGAACAGGTAATTCATCCTTATTTGATTCTGTTGTATTTGCATTATCATTATGATTAATTTGTAAATGTTCAGATTTTTTATTACATATAGACATTTTATTCATTGAGCTTGGCGAATTGAAACTTTGTATAATATGTGATAATCTTCTTTCATGTTGATTAATTCTTTCCAATTTTCCACTCATAGTTATGCCATGACGACCACCCTTGTGTCCCGTTCTACCTTTACACGCTCGCAAAATATCATTATCTGATAATACTGACATTTTAGGCTGAGTTTTTTTATCTGACGACGATTCACCATAATTAACTGTTTCAAGCTGACGAAAATTATTATATTGAGTTTGCCTTGATTGTTTACATCTCGACACTACTTCGTTAAGCTTATCATTAGTAGGATCCTTGTTAACTGAGATTGTAACTTGATTCTTTTCATTATTGACTATAATATTGTTCGAAGCTTTATCAAATGCTGTTTTCCACCATTCTGAATTATTCGATGAATATCCTAAACCTTCGTTGTTGAACTTTGCTTTTGGTTTATAAGCTTCGACTATTCCATTTTCATTTTTACCCAGTCCTTTTCCTATGTTATTTAGAATAACATGAAAAAAAAAACAAAAAAAATATGTATCATTTATAAAATAATCGAATCATGTATTCTATTGTAAATAATTATTCAATTGTATATTATTATAATTGCAATACAAGTTGAACAATATTATACAACTTACTTAAAACTATTCCTAATACACGTGGGGGTCACTACATACAACTATTATACACGTGGTCAACAACAACAACTACTACACAACTATTATACACGTGTTTAAAATAATTGAATTCGTTTTGTTCTTTTTTTTTATTAATACAAATTTACAACTTACAACTTACAACTTACTTAAAACTACTAAACACGTGGTCAACTACTACTACACAACTATTATGCACGTGTCAACTACTACTACAAAACTATTATACACGTGTTTACGATAACGGATTTCGTTATGTTTTTTTTTTTTATTAATACAAATTGACAATATTTACCTTCGGTCCAACCATATTTTAAAAGTTGTTTCTTTCCAAAATCTTCCATGTCACAATTATTTTCTAATAATTTTCTTCAAAAATGAAAAATAGAAAATTACACGTTCACTTGGAAGGTATCCTCGTTATTCGTCGACGATTCGTTGTTGAATGAGAAAAAGTTTTCGAGGGAAATACACTAGTTTTCTTAAATGCGTCGATAGATGTCACTTCCATTCGTAATTTTAATATCGATCAATTAAACGAACTTACCGGCAAATATTTATTATTATATTTTTTTATTAAATTTAAGAAAATGATTTTATCCTCAATGTTAATTAAAAAAGTGTTTTTTGTTCTTTTAACGATTATGAATAAATCGACAGATAAATATACATATTTTAATCGATTATTCCGGAAATAAATGAAGTCATTTGAAGGATTGCAATGAGAAAATATTTTCTTTTTTTTTTTTTTTTCTTCTATTAAACGTTATTTTATAAATTTGTTAATTTATTGGCATTTAAATAATTGCTATTTTATCAATTTTTCGATTAAAATAACGAATAATTGTTAAGTTAAGTTTTGTTAAAACTTTTCTAGTTACTTTATGCATGTTTGTTAAAAAAGATTTATGTATTATAAAGAAATATTTTAAATTAATAATTAACTGTAATTTCGGTAATTATTTATTAAATAAAATTTTCATTTAAATTTCTAACAATATTTATACGTCATAAATTTTAAATTAAATTCAAATGAAAATGATTCAAATCAATAGTACCAATTAGATGCTTTGTAACAATTTATAAATATCACTTGACAATTGTTCTAGAACAAACTTGTTGACAAAAGTTACTAGAACAACAAAAAAAATAAAAAAAAATGGTGGCAAATTTAAAAATAACGCAAATTGTAATTTTTTCTTGTCAATAAAAGTGCCATTGAAAACATTCGAAATATTTTGCCAAATGGAAAGTGCGGTTACTTCAAGAACCTTTATAAGTCACTAACTGAAGAAAAAAAAAAACAAATCTTTTTTTTTTACTGTAAAAAACTAGAAGAATCGTTTATTTTAAATCGATAAATCGATATATTCGACTACAACCTGTAAAAAAAATAATAATATATCTATGTTGTAAACTACTTGTTAGGATGAACTTACATTCGAATAATTTAATAATACGAGTTAAGAAAAAAATAGTAGAACAACAATATTGGATAGGGTTGAGAATAAAAAAAAGGGATGTTTTATAATAAAACGTGTCGTTTAGACTACGTACATGGTTATCTATTATTAAATAAATAAAATAGTAACTTCCTTTGATGTTAGAAAACCCTACGTTATTATCTGCTTGAGAATCTTGTCCATTTTTCTTTGATTCTTTCTTCATCGGAGTATATAATAAAGAACTTGGAATATTGTATAGATTATTGTATGAGATAGTAGAAAAAAAAGATAGAAAGAAAGAAAGAAAAAAAAAAAGAAAATAAATAAAAGGATAAAGAGTGATGGATATTTTACCGGTGAATTTTAAAATTTTTACATTTTGTGGAATTTGGAGAGAAAACAACGAACATATGGATATTTTTATGCGTTTGATCAAATTTTTACATGGGTACTATTTTTTTTTATAAAAAATGAAAGAGAAATACAAAAAAAAAGATGAAGAAATCAGCTTGGACAATTTTGGCGGGAAGAGTGGTTGATTTAGAAAATTGTTTTTGTCCAATTTTTCATTGTATTTTTTTTATATTTTTGTTGTTGTTGTATTTTTTTAAATGTTTGTTCACAGATCGCTGATAATAACGATAATATTTTACTTCACATTAACCGAATTAATAGAAATAATCGTTTCCCGTAATAATCTCGAGGACATGACTGAAACACTTTTCATGGCATTGACGTTTCTCGCATTGTGTTTCAAATTGCTTAATATTTTATTTAGGAAGAAAAAATTAATCATTTTATTGAATTTATTACGTGAACAAATATGTCGTCCGAGGAATTTAACGGAAGAAAAAATTTTGGAAAACTATAGTCGAAGGGGTAGGAAATATATCCGATAAAATAAATAATAATGTCGATGATTTGTTTGAAGGTGTTTCTAAATAAAACAAAAAAAAAAAAATCAAAAAAATCAATAAAATATAACAAAGTATAAAATATTAATAATCAAAAAATGTATCTACGCCATAGCTAAATGGTGTACCCTTAGTTTCATGGCTTTGTCTGAAACAACAGCAGTGGCATTTGTACTTGCTCCTATCATGGAATTACATCGTTCGAACAGAGTTTTACCATACAATACTTATTTGCCGTATTCCATTGAAGAATTACACGCCTATTTGGTAACATATTTGATTCATACTATATCTATTATTTATGGAGCACTACTAAACGTATCCTTCGATTCTCTCGTATACGGTTTGACCCTTCACGTTTGCGGACAAATTGCTATTTTAAGCGAACGTTGCACGCAAACTCTTAGGGAAGGTAATTCGAATGGAATAAAAGCGTTCGTTAGACATCACGTGTTTATTCATGGACTCGTTAAGAGAATAGAATCATTATTTATTTGGACGATAGCTGTTTTATTCCTTTTCAGTTTGATCACTCTTTGTACCACCATCTTTCAAATGTCAAAGGTTAGCTTTTACATTTTTTTTTTTTCTTTTTTAAATTATTCCAATTTCTATTTTCAAAAGTTTGGATGTACCTACTCGTATATGAAAAATTGAAAAGAAAAATATGATCATTGTACTCTACTCTGTTTTGTGAATATTTTATTTTTGTATATGTGTGTAGGCGTTGGTTGGTGAAATTTTCCGACTAACATTGAAAACTATTTTATTTTATTTTTTATTTTACTTTTATTTTTTCAAAATGATCTTGAAATTTTTCAATTCACAATCATATAGAAATATTTGTTAATATTTTAATTTAAATATAACCGATATTGGGATCTCTAGCACTTGAATATGCTATCTGGTAGATAGGTCGAATTGCTACGCCACGCTTCTGCCAGAAATCCCAATAATTTGTACATAACTACGTAATTCAAATGTAGTAGATACGTCGTATATCCTAATTTTCAAATGTTTATAAAATTTTAATTTTAAAATGAAATATTAATTGTTATATATAATAATAATATTTATTTATTATTTTATATGTCATGTATTATTTATAATTATATTAATATTTTACAGAAAAATCCTTTGACGGTAGAATTTTTATCATTCGTATTGTACACCGGTTCTATGATGTTTCAAATATTTTGTTATTGTTGGTACGGCAATGAGCTTCGATTAAAGGTATTTGTCTATTATTTTTAACAAAAGTATTTTTACCGATCGAGTTTTAGTACAGTTATTTATATATTTTTCAACTTTAGAGCAAAGGAATTTCTGATGCTATTTATAATAGCAAGTGGGTTATGTTAACACCGAATAATCGTCGAAATTTACAATTATTAATAAGAATCAGTCAAAAAGAATTGACTCTTACATATCATCGAATATTTTCTCTTAATCTTGACGCTTTTACATGGGTGAGTTAATAATAATAATAATAATAATAATCAGAATATATTTAATGTATTGTTAATTATTACAGTAAACGAAAGATTTATTTTACAGATACTGAAAACATCTTATTCATCGTTTAATATTCTTCAAAGCATGTCGTATTAATGAGTCCTTTATTTATAATCGTTTATTTAAAATTATTTATTTAGTGTTACATTTATAAAAAACAAAAAAACAAAAAGAAGAAGTAAGTAAAGATAGTATAAAAGTAAGAATATAAATTAGAATAATAAACAACAACAAAAATAAAAGTACGATATGAAAAAAATGGATCGTAATTCTGGATCGTTATTATGTAAATTAATATTCTATGGAAAGTTTTACAGAGTACACACCTATGCAAATATCATTGAAGATTATAAATTCTAATTATTGATAGGAAATCAATTATGTTTATACATTTATAAACCTTGAAATTATATCTTCTAACTATTATCACAATTATGTATTATTCTAGTTTGCTTATTATTTCTTTTTCTTAAAACTAATAATTTTGATTATTATTTTATGTATGATCATTAATTTGATATATTAGTTATTTATTTTGAAAAATTAGCCAACGATATATATATATATATATTTATATTTTTGTTTCTTTTTTCCTTTTATAAAGTATTTTTTAAACAACTTGATTAGTTAAAGTTTGTACAAAATTATTCCATTTTTGTCTCCAAACTTTCAATGCTTTTTCCTTTTCTACAGCATTCAAACTACTGTACGTAATTGAATTCAATGCTAGTTGTTTTAAAGCTCTCAAATCTGAATTTTGTGACATGATAGCAACGAAAGCTTGATAAAAATCATAACTCAATGCTCGAGCACCCCATAATCCAGGATCATCGTTCGATATTACGATTGGATAATTGTTCGCAAATAATTCGACTGCTGGATGATTTCTAAGATCTTTTACAAGACCTAAAACTTGATTGGAGATTGGATTAACTTCAACTGCGATTCCACGTTGTTTTGCCATTTCCATTAAGAGTGGGTGTTTTGTTAAAGCGTATCTACGATCATCGAAAAAAGTTTATGATTAAATATATTAATAATAATAATAGAGATAATAAAAGTAATATTGATAATTATCAAAAAGAAATAAAAGAAAGTTTAAGTGTATGTTTCTAATAAAATTGAATTTTGTATCGATAAGGAATATCGAAAGTTTACGAGTAGATGATAATAGATTAGATATATATATTTTGAAGAAGATTAGATAGAATTAAGAGAAAATAGATCAATGATAATGATTGTTAACAACTAAAAATAATAGAAAAGTAAGGTACGTTAACACGTTCGTCACTATGGCACACTGTATACCAGAGACGGGCATGCTTCTTCGGGGGCCCAATCACCGTATACGGTGACGCACTTCTTGTAAAAGTTATGGTACCTTTAGTTGGAAAAACTTATCTTATCACATTTCCCATTTCGAAAGAAAATTATTTTCGATAAATAAAAGATAGTTTTATATCTTCTTCCTAATATATATAAATTACGTGTCACGTTGCTTGTTCGCAATGGACTTCTAAACAACTGAACCGATTTTAATCAAATTTTGCATACTGTGTGCAGTTTCATTCAACTTAAAAGATAGGATAGTTTATATCTTAATTTATAATCGCAATTATTTGTTTATTAACAAAGAGTCATGATTATCTCTGATTATCGGACTGATTGTGGGCCACAGCAACGTGTGGCGGGGCACCCCTAGTTTTATTATATTCGATAAATTCGATATTCGATATTTCTACTTTATCGCTTCTTTACGTTACGGCGTGCTGAGAGTCGAATTTTGGGCCTGGCGAGAAACTCAATCGAAACGGGCTGGACGACGAACGTGTTAAAGTGTCGAGTAAAGTGAAAGGAATAAATCGTTGGTTTAATGTTATGTAGAAATAAACAGGTTTATAAAACGACGAAATAGTTCAGTCATGATCTTCTGTTAGTATAATCAATGATATTAAACATTTCACTATTATTAATTATTTATAAATTTATTTACATACCCGTGTCCAATTCGTTTGGCACCTAATAGAACAGCATCAATTAAATTTTCATCAGTACTTGTACCATACCAATCAGTTTCACCAGCGTGGAAAAAATAATTCATCGATGGATCGAAATCTTTCAATTTATTAGCGAAAACTATCAAAGGTGTTCCTTTATCCTCTTGTCCAACTAAATCGAATCCAGCTAAGAATGTAGGATAATTATCTTTGATTGTTTTCAATGTTTTTAAATATTCATCCAATTCTGTTACATTTATACCACGGTAAGGTGCATATATTAGTTTGGCACCTATGAAATCTGGATGTTCTGACACAAATCTGTCAAGAATACAAAAATAACAATTAATTTCAAAAGAAAGAACAATAAATAAATTAATATTTATTTCTTCACTTAGAAAATATAGGAATCTTTTTCTTTTTTTTTTTTTTTCTTTAAAAGTAAAAACATTATCAGTTAGAATTAAGTGAGATGCACGAATACAACTTTGTTCAACAATATTTATACAAATATACAAACATACAACCTTTTAACACACTTTCCGTTTGTATCTCTTTCATACTAAATAACATGCTTCGATGATAAAAAAATAAAACTAACGCTGATAACTTCATTTTGTCTCACATAATAAGACCTCTTGAACAAGGCAAAAGAAATAATCAAAAAAAAAAAAGAAAAAAAAAAGAAAATAAACAAAATAGAAGAAGAAGAAGAAGAAGAAGAAGAAGTTAAGAAATACTATCGTTAAACAACTAGTCTTCAAACCAGTTTTCAAACCAGTCTGTTTTTGTTTTGTTTTGTTTTTTTTTACTAAATCCTAAAAGTCTTTGGAATTAATAACTATTCTGACAAATCAGATAATGATCTGATAATCAGATAACTTAATATTTATTAAACTAAATAATAATATATATATATATGTATATTAACTACAAATATTAAGATTTGTCTTCTACCTTTCCGTAATCTTTTTATAAACCTCGACTGTTTCGAGTTGCGAATAAACGGTGCCATTGAGATCGTACAAATTTGGAAGTGTAGTACGAAATTCGATGTACATAACATTGTCATTGTAAAGATCGGTCAAAGCTTGATAATAATGATCCTCCCAAACTGGTTTATAAGTGAGCAATGGTTTAATAAATGAAAATATTTTGTTAAATTTAGACCATGCTTCATCGACATCGGCATAATTATCAATATCTTCCATGGTCATAGTCATTTCTCTGTATATTCTTTCGTCGATATTTCGTACAATTTTTCTAATATTACTTAAAAGTTCCCAATTACAGTCTGTACTTGGTTCGTCAAAAAAATGTAATTTTAATTTGCCATTTGTTAATAAACATATGTAAAGATTAGGTCGATATGTTACGTTTCGTAAAATCCAATCGGATAAAACGAGTGCTGTGTCGTGTGCATGAAGTACAGCACCTTTTGGCATTTTTTGAATGATCTTATAAACTTCGGACTTTTCTATGTCTTTTATTACATTTACGAAATTATGTGCAGGTAAAAAATTACTTGAATTTTTAAATGCTGCGAAACAAATATTATTAATATATCTTATTTATTTTTTCTCTAATTTATATTTGATTGCTTTAATTTAACCTTTGCTTATCACACTTGGTCAATTGTTCAACTTTGGTAATTTTTTAAATATATTTATATTTAATTTAAAGCTATAAAACTTATATAGTCTTTTTAAGTAAGTATTCAAGAAGTCTGAAAAAAAATGTTGAAGTAAATCTATGCGATAGTTTCTTTTTTATAACGATTTTTCTCGTCCAGGTCCAAAGGACCCCCAGGTGTGGTAAGCAAAAGTTAATATTAATTGTTTTTCTTAATAATTTTTAAAATTAATAACATAGAAAGAAATAATAATTTAAGAACGAGAATAAAAGTTAATATGAATATTTGAAAAATTTTAATTGATAAAGTAAATAATAATATTAATATAAATAATATTATAATATTATGATAATATAATTATAATTAATATTATAATAATATTTCCTTTTATAAATGTTCCATTAAATATTAGTAAAATAAAATAGAAAATAAATGTGTAAAGAAAATGTGAAATGACAAACCATTTAGAAATTCGGCACGTTTCTTCGACATTAGAAAATCGTTAGCAATTTTTTCACCATGATTAAATTCAAGTTGACCTCCAAGGGTAGATTTTTGTTCATTTTCAATTATTTGAGCTCTTAATTTCCAGTAATCAAAAGGTGTTGAATTTACAGTAGACAATAAACCAAAAATTACTGAGATTAAAATAATTAAATTGTTCATGATTATGATAATCAATTTATTCACTTAAAATATTTATTTTTGTTTATTTATAATTGTATATAATAATAGAAAATGAAAGTTTTCAATGTGTAGACAATCGTTGAGATCACCGATCACTTCGGCTGTTCACGGTCTACTAACTTAAGTGTTTGTATCACGATAACTTGTTACAGCAATCTACTACACAATACAAATATTGGTAAGATAAACATCTGCTCCTTTTTATATTTATATCTGTTAAATTTGGTACATATAAATAGATAAATATGTAATATAATACATATATATATATATTATATTTATATATATCAAATTAAACGTATAAATCAACTGTATTGTTACTATTTATATTAAATAATTTTATCATAAATAATTAAATTCAATAACTAGATATAATTTTTAAACTTATATACACACTAAATATTTATTATTTAATTCAAATAATTTAACGAATAATGAAAATACGATGATAAATTAATATTAATGTTCTTTTAATCAATAGATAAAATTTCAATAAAATCGTTTTTCAATGTATTACATTTTTTTCTGTTTTTTTTTTTTTTTAAATAATTTTTTTTGCAGTGATAGCAAATTTTTATTTGAAATTATTTCAATTGAGTTGATTAGGGCTGATAGAGAAGTGTCCCCTCTGTTATTTTTAGAAAGCTTTCTCTTCGTTTAACACATGTGTATATATGTGTACATACCTAATTTGTTAGGGAGACTATAATAAATGTGAGATGTAGAATGAAAAAATTAGAACAGGGAGACGAAACACAAAAATTTATTACAAAATACAAGCTCGTACCTTGTTACACGTTTGTTCAATTAAATAAATATTATTTCTCAATTTTTGTTCATCTTAATTAAAGATTTATCATACATTTAACGTACGATATAAATTAATGAAATAATATATATTATATATATATATTTAATAAATAGGATCATTTTTCTAACGTCGCAATATTTACAATAAATATTAAATTTGTTTAATTTTTCATCTAACATAAATTTGAATATTGTGCAACGCGTGTAATAATAATAATAATAATAATAATTGTATTATGAAAAATTGCAAGTAAATTAATTGAATGTAAATATTCATAGAAATAGGAACAATTGATCATTGAAATGAAAAAAGATAAGATAAATGAAATTCATTTCACGGATCAATTTTCATTGAAGTTTCTTATTTTAATTCTATCATTGAGTTAATTTTGTTTTGCTTTGACGATATGTTTAGTTGCAACAGGAACTCGTAATTCTTGCTAATCACACAAAGGGATATATTGTATGCATTGTATGCACAAATACACACATACTAAAAGGTAAAACTATAAACACATTTTGTATAGAGAGTTATACAGTATTTTTCTTTCTTTTTAATCAATACATCAGTTTTAATGCTGTAACATCTGTTTTTTTTTTTTATCTTAATTCACACATACAAAGTTTTTTTTTTTTTTATAAATGATATTACACATCGGTGTTTAAAAAACTTAGGCCTATTCGTATATTTATTTATTTATTTATTTATTTATTTATACGCAGATTAGAAATTTTCGATCGAAAGAAATTTGTTTCTTTTTTTTTTTTTTGTTTTTTTACTTTCCTTTATCTTTTTATTTTATTCTCGCCAAAAACAAAAACAAAAAAAAAAAAACAAAAAATAAAATAATTATACAGACAAATTAGTACAGTTCTGACGTTATTGTATCGTCACAAATGATAATCCAATTTTTATTGTCTCTTATTTTTTTTTTTTTTTTTTTTATGTACAAGAATTACTCAAAAGTGCATTCTACTATGTTTAACATGAAAATTATAAATTATACAATATTCTTTCTTTGTTTTTTCTTTTTTTTTTCACATAAAGTTAATAAATTAACTTACTTATGTATAACATATACCAAACGTACATTTAAGAAAATATAAATATACATATATATATATCCAACAATCACAATTTCCATAATTATCAAAATAAATTGATATTACATAAAAATTTATACATTCATTCAAATTGAATTTGTCTTCTTTTTTGGTTTATTTGTTTTTCTTTTTTCTTTTTTTTTTTTTATAATAATTATTAAACGAAAAATAAATATTTCAATATGATAAATAATATAATCTATAATAATAATGTTACAAATTTTTAAATAATTTGTTTTTTTTTTTTGGTCACATATATTAATTTAATTAAATGAATATAATTAAAATTATTCGATGTGTGTAGAATAACAAATTTAGAAGAAAAAATGATAAGACAAGAAAAGAAAAGAAAATGTTTTGATCGAACTTTTGTCATTTCGATTAAAGTTATTGATTAATGAACATTTGACGTATAATAATAATAATAATAATAATAATAATTGGCATTTAATTATGTTATAATAATCTTGAGATGTCAAGTCAAACACTATCGTCGTACAAAATTCGATGCGTTTTTAAATGACATTATAATCTATAACTATGAAATATTTCATCTTAAAACGATTGATTATTATATAAAAAGATTGAAAAAAAGGTGATATGTCGTGAAAATATATTAGTAAAATCTATATTTGTCAGAAAATATCAAACATTGTAAATCCTAAATTTTGATATTCTTCAAAATGCATCGAATATGAATTTTTAACTATGAAACTATCATGATAAATGTTTAATGAATAAAAATAATACAAATGAAGCATAATCAATATGCCATGTAATTTGTATTTCCAACCAATGCATTATTAAATGCAATCTTTATCAAGATTTTAACAGTACATTTAAAATAATACTTAAATAAATTGTGTCGAACAACGATAATTCCATATTTCATATTGTAAATAAACAAAAAAATGAACATATTTTTTTTGTTTTCTTTTTAAAACACAAAAATCCCTGAGAAATAAGCATTAGAATTTAGAATGATTTCGATAATTGAATTGAAATGTTTTTCATGAATATATGATTTAACACATTAATGACAATTACAATAATTCTTTCTTTCTTTCTTTCTTATTTTTTTCTTTTTCTTCTTCTTCTTCTTCTTCTTTTCTTTGTTTTTATAAATGCCAATACTAAATATTTGTAAAGTCTTGAATATCTTTTTTTTTTCTTTTTGTACAATTTATATGGTCAGCCACGTAATTAAGATTGACATGTATTATCTTAATAACGTTAACTATTAATACTTTATTTTCTTTCTTTCTTTCTTTCTTTCTTTCTTTCTTTTTCTTTCTATCTATCCTCTTTCTATTTCTTTGCATTAATAAAATAATATTTGTAACTAACGCTTTTCCATTTCGTTTTTTCTTTTTTTCTTTTTTCTTTCTTGCATACTAATTTACTACGAAAGATGTTGAATATTATCATCTTACATAGATTACATAGATTATTTTCAGTCAGTTATTGCACTTAAATGATCACATTAGTAGATCATTTAATACAGTACGATTTCAAATCCATTCTATGATCGAATACAATCGTGTAACAAGACTGTGTTTTTCTTTTTATAATAATAATATAAGATTGTAAATACACAAACTAATGTTGTACAATAGCACATTTTTGCGCGCACGCACGCCAAATAATAATAATTATTATTATATTATTATTACACTTATTATTATTATTATTATTATTATATTTATACATGTAGGATTATAATGCCGTTAAGAAGCCTTCAAAGCTTTATCCGCATGTGCTAACGTGAGTGACCCTACCAGTGAAACTAAAGTACGATCCAACCATGTTATGGGATTTGGATAAAGAAGACCACCTTCGTAGAAACCTAAATGGCCTCCGTGTGACAATTCAACGTATAAGGTGTTTGGATGAGTTGCTATAATATGTTACAATCAATATAATTGTAATTAATATTTCAGATGTACGTAATAATAAAATTCAAAGGTCTTAAACTTACCAGCGTATTCTTTTATAGGTTTTAATAATGAATCTGGTATAATGGGATCATCTAAGGAATTAATAAATACCATTGGTGTATAGATGTTGTCAAGATAATTTATGGAACTGGACCATTTGTACATTTCTTGTACAGATCTAAATTGATGTACCTATGAAAATGAGTAAATAAATAAATTACATTGACGTAATCTTTGAATCATCAATATAATAAAAATATCAGGTATAAACAAAAGAAGAAATCTTACCTTTCTCGTATAAGCTTCATCGAGTTCAGGTAAGGTAGCAGCAGAAATGATATCTCTCTCGTTAAGTGAATATTTTTGTTTGACTTCCTCCGAAAGTAATACATGTTTGTGTTTCAGTATTATATTCTTAACAGATTCAGTCATTACATAAAGATAAAATCGTCTAAAGTTTTGCCAATTTAATAAAAACTTTGTACCTCTGAAAAAAGAAAGAAAACAACAACAACAACGTGTGTTAAAAATCTAAAAGAGTATAGATATTTATTTAAAAGAATAAAACAAAGATTATAAACTAACTCGAGAGCATTGTAACCTTGACAAATGGATATACCACCAATAATATTGGACAATTTATTCTGACCACGTTCTCCCAAATATTTGGTTACTAAATTACCACCTAAACTAAATCCTATGCATACAATTCTTGTATTTGGATGTTGTTCGACGAGATTCTGTAGCATCGTGTTGTAATCATCTGTATGACCTAAAATAATAATCATAAAAATAATAATATAGACCTCATAAAAGGTAACATTCATAAAAAGTAATATGAGCTTTGAGGTTTTAGATTTATGTAGTATATAAGAAGAGACATACTACATAACATAAGAATAGAAAAGCGTAATACTTCTTTATAATACTTCTATTCTATACCATAAGTAAATATCCTTGGTGCTGTAACCTTGACACTAGAAAGAGCTCCAACGTGATTAAGTACAGCGCATCGATAACCGTGACATTGAACAAGGTGAACGAATGTCCTGATGTAGACACTTTCTGAAGTATTACCGATGCCCGGGCAGATAGCTATCGTAATATCATCTGTGAAATAATCAAATTCATTTTATTTCAAGGTATTCGTTATTCAACAATTCTGGGGAGAAGACATTGAAAGAAACAAACTACAACATTTGTTTGTTTGTTTGTTTTTTTGCCTTCTATTAACGTAAGTTTATGAATGATTATGATGTATATATATATATATATATAAAAAAAAAAACAGTTAGAATATTTTTAATTATCCATAGAAAATCTTGTGATGAGTTGGTGTAGCATACCAACAACGAGTCCTCTTGAAAGAAGAATATTCCAATGTGCGATGTAAAATATTTTCCTTCGATGACAAAAAAAAAAAATGAATAAGAAGCTTAAAAGTCAAATACCTTTTATAACATTGGTGACCTGTTATTTTTGTTATTCTAAACAGTTACTTGGGGGTACCAGTGTACGACTATAAGAATTATTTATGAATAATAGATTTACAATTTCATGTTAGAAAAAGAGAGAGAGAGAGAGAGAGAGAGAGAGAGAGAAATAACTAAGCGTGCGATTCGTGCTTACGAATCGCACCTGTTTATTTTACCTTCGAACACATACGTACGTACGTAGCAGAAGAAACTTGTTTACAACATTTTAACGTATCATCTCTAGGATCATATTAATATTAGTGAACGATGAAGAAAACTGTGATATAATTATGAAATAAACAAACCTTCGTGACTATTAGTTAATGGTTGATAAAGATCGTAAGTTAGTGTAGTATCATCAGGTAAACCGATGTATACACGTTCTCCAATTGGCCAAGGACACCGTACACGTCCGATAATACTGTGGACTACCGTTTGAACGTGACCACTGAACCCCCATAATCTTGTTGGTTTGTATCTGAAAAATAGAAATAGAAAAATGATAATTATATTTATAAAATAAACTAGGGGTACCCCGCCACACGTTGCTGTGGCTCACAATCAGTCCGATAATCAGAGATAATTATGATTCTTTGTTAATAAACAAATAATTCGCAATAAATTGAGATATAAACTATCCTATCTTTCAAGTTGAATGAAACTGCACACAATGTGAAAAATTTGATTAAAATCGGTTCAGTAGTTTAGGAGTCCATTGCGGACAAACAACGTGACGTGACGTAATTTGTATATATTAAAATGTACAATAAATAATAACGCGTTGAATTTGATTTTGTAGGAAAACTTTAGCCGCCATTTTGATACCAAATGTATATGGGGTATTTTCCATTATATTCATCATTTGAATCATTTCATTTTAGATTTATATTTAATGACGCGTATAATTGACTCGTTAAAATCTAGTACATTTATGAAAGTAAAGATTTTAAATGAAGTTTTTTTTACAATTGACCATTGAAATGAATGAAAGATAATAATATTAGCAATGACCCGATTATACGAATGACATTGCTGAACATTTCGTTCAATCAAATGTAAAGAGAATTCGACAAACCGTTAGAGAAGAGATGATTTTATTACGAGAGAGAGAGAGAGAGAGAGAAATATAGAGAAAGAAAAAACGATTATTTCTAGTGGATTAGTGGAACACGGGAAGATTTAAAACGGTCATAGAACGAATAGAACAGTGAGAATCATTAACTGACGGTTACCCTAACAAAATTTTATGACTCTGTAACTCTCGTAAATAAGAGAAAATATTGTTTTATGTTCAAGAAGAATTTCTTAGACAAGTAGAAAAAAAAAATCGATGATCTAAAATAATCTTCGTTTTGTTATATAGTAACAATGATTTATATATTTATTTAATTATATCTTTTCTTTTGTTTTGTTGTTGTTTTTTTTTTTTTTATGGAGGGAAAGGAAATGTTTCGTATTCGCAAGAAAATTGGTCAAACCGAATGACGAGAAAGCGGTCATTTTATTATTTTAGGTTTATTTCAAAATTATATCCTTTCTAAACGATGTTCCCCTTTTTTTCCAGATTATTTTTTTGTTCTTGACTGTAAATATGAACATTTTATGCGGTCATGATCGAATTTAGGTTGAACGCGTAGTCCTACATACAACATTTTTTTTTATAAGAATTACATATTTCATTTCAATGATGAAATTTATAAAAATGTTTTTGTTAATTCATTGAAATTTGAATGGTGAAATTTATAAAAATGTTTTTGTTAATTCATTGAAATTTGAATGGTGAAATTTATAAAAATGTTTTTGTTAATTCATTGAAATCTGAATGGTTTATAATTATTATTTGTGAGTAAAAAAAATTGTAACACACCAAATGCATTTTTTTTTTTAGCAAATGCAGAATTCATTTTGTCCACGTATTATTAATAAAAGGATCATGGAACTGTGTGTATAATTTTATAATAAGCAAAAATTTTGCTTACATTATTATCTTGCAATTTGATATTCACATTTATCTTTCGTAAAAACTTCGGTCGACATACTTTAAACAATACAGTTAATTTAACTATCGTTTTGTGTTCAATCAGCTTTACTTTCGTAATTTCCGTTTATTACAATTAAACGGTACATTAAATATACTTTCACTGTTATTAAAAACATTGTGTAACTTTGTAATAATTGTTTGGAGTAGAACATGAATTTTGGAACATGAATTTTCATTTTAAAGTGAAAAGAAAAAGAAAAAGAAAAATATTAATCAATATTATAAATCTTTATTATTTAATAAAGATGCTGTAAATATTAGGTCGAGTCATAAGTAAATTCCGATGCGGCTATGTAAAATCTATTTTTCGTATTTATCTACTACTAGGGGTGCCCCGTCAGTCCGATACACACGTCTTTAAGTCAACGAATTACCTTAAACCTCCATCTGCTAGAATCTTATCGAACTAACAGAGATAATCATGACTCCTTGTTAATAAACAAATAATTCGCAATAAAATAATAATTATAAACCATTCAGATTTCAATGA